GTCGCCAACTGGATTTAACTCCGTTTACCACAACTCTCTGGACTCGGTCACCCAGCCAGTTTTTTTCAGATGAGGACATGCAGCTGGGTGTGCTTTTTGTAGCACCCACTTGATGCTGTGCAAGCTTGACTTCATCAAATGAGAAGGCAAGCGACGAATTTGTGGCGTCTCCCTCAGTCCTGCTCGCTCCTGCCATTACCCATGTACTCTCCAGCGCCTTCAGCCATTGCCAGCTGAACGCTTAGGTCTAGAAATGAGTTTTCCCTCTGCAGTTCAGCCTGTGCAAATACCCATTCAGCCAGACTGAAGTTTGGGGAAGGGGAGACTTAGCAAATTCCCTGAAAACCGTGCAGTGTTCAGCAGTTTTCCACTGGCCCCTGGCGTTGCCTGCAGTGTCCTCGGTAGCAATTTTCCAGAGTGTGTGTGTGTGCGCGTGGAGTGGTTGGGGCATTGCACTTATTCATGTTATTTTGCAGGGGGTATCAGGACTCCCCAGGTATGCGGGCAGAGGGGGGAATTGTGCTCGGCTCCTGCTTACTCTCGCAGTGGTGGGGGAGGCGAGTTTCCCCTGTGGCTGCTCTTTCCTCTGCCCAATGTAATTGTGCTAATGCCTCAAAACACCCTCTGACAGTGACACAGCAGAGTGTCTCCTGGTGTCTCTGTATGGTCCTGGAAATCTGTTTCTACCTGCTCAAGTCCACTGGAGCGTGGACTTTCACATGGACATTGTGCGTGTGGTTCAGGCTGTCTTGGGGGATCCCTGACTTAGTTAGCAGTCTCCTGTTGGAGGTGATGGCTCTCTCCTGGCCAGCCAGAAACACGTATCCTCATCATTACCTCCCTGAGACCCAGCAAGTTTAGGATCCAGGTGAGAGAGTTGCAGCCATGGGTCCTCTGCACTGCTGTGCTGTCTGCAAGAGGAATCACAGTGCTGCCTCCTACATGGAAGTGGGAGGCAGGGCAAAATTGGGACAGATGGCTTCTTGCTGGTTTGCAAGCCCTTTAGCTTGAGTGACAGTTCCAAAAACCTCAATTTTATCTGTCTGGCGCTAAAAAAAGGTAGCATCCTTTGGTGGGTCTGACTGAGCAAACCAGATTCAGCAAAGGTATGGGATGGAAAGTAAAAAAGCCTGTATGTTCTTTTGCTTGGGCTGATCGTCTCCAGGAGTGAGAAGGAGTCAGCGTCAGACCCTGCAGGACTGAGGCAACAGGTTGTCTGCCTTCAGCCAGTCTCTGGTGGACGGGGGAATGGGGATGGACTTGGACATGCTGGGAGAGATGTAGGGAGTAAAATCAGGAACCAGAAACAGGTGCTGGGTGCCAGTACTGAACTCAGATATGGGTTAAGTTTCAGGACAAGAAAACATAGGGGAAAAAATAGTCAGGAAAAAAAAAATAGCAAAAATGTGCTTGGGCTACATCTTTTCTGGTTGAAAGCCTAGGAGATAAGTGTGGAGGCTATGTCTAGAGCTTGGTTGCATTGTCAAAGCACCAGTCACCTGTGCACTGCCTAGCTCTTCAGGATGATGCTCCTCTGTCCAAGCAAGTCCAAACTGATCCATTTCCTTGTGGCAAATAACAGGGAGAGCCTCTATGGGATGAGGAGCTGCCAAGCAGAGGCGAGGGCTGGAGGTTTCTTCAGTTCTGCTTTATCTGCTTTCTTGAGCGTCACCTGTGGTACTGTGCCCTGTGCTGACCTGGAAGGGACAGCAGCATAAAAAAGAGATTTCCCCAACCTTGCTTCCTGCCCTCCCCCCCCTTTCAAAAAGTTGGGGATCAGTCAAAGATGGGAGCCTGCAGCACATTTCTGAGTTTTGAGAGATTTGAATCTCAGATACTGCAGGCATGCCAGTGCTTCCACATTGCCTGAGGTAAAGAAACAGAGCTTTCTGCAAAAAGCAAAACCTCTTGTCAGTCTTTTTTTTGCTCCAATACATGCTGTAAAGCCCTGTATACCTCCTGGGACAGAAAACCATCCTCCTGCCCTCAAAGGAGCCACAACTGATAACAGCATTGCAAGGTTTGCTGCATGAGCTACCTGCTCACTGTAAAGTTGGTAAAAAAAGGCTTTGGGGGGGTGTGTGTGTGCTTTTTGGTTGTGACTTCCCCCCTGCCACCCCCCCTGCAAGCCTTTCGGATCCCACGGTGTGAAGCTGTGTAGCCATGTGGGAGGAGAGTGGCAGTGCTCATGTGAAGCGTTTGCTGTGTGTCTGGTCCCTCTCCGTGTGCGGGGCCCTGGCGTGCGCTCCGCTGGGGTTGGGTGGGTGATGCAGTGGGAAGGGTCCCACACACTCTTCGACCGGAGTTTTTCAGTAAGAGGTTTAAAAACGCAGCTCCTCATAGCATTGTTAATCCCTAAGTGTCACCCAGAGGAGTTAGAGGCTGCCTGAAGGTGTGGGTTAATTACAGCTGAGCCTCTGCTTGTAACAAAATCAGTGTGAAGTGCCCTTTGCTTGAAATTTCATTATGAAAAGAGCAGCCAGAAGGTGTGAAATGAGGACATGCCCCTAGACTGGACCCAGCAGGTGCTTTGAGGTGTGAGCACATTGCACTTTGCACCAGCACTGGGAAAAGTCCCCCCTTGGGACTAAGGAGCCAGGCCCGGGTTTGGTGCAGTGGGGCCTGGGGAGCACTTGGCAGCTGGGGCTGGGCAGCCCCCTTTGGCAGGGGAAGGAAACCCTCTGATCCCACAGCCTCAGCTGGTCCCTCTCCCCAGCCTCTTTATTCAACTTGCCTTCATTTTCTGCACTCAAGTTTTCACTGCTCTTGCTTATGCATGATGGTGATCATCTTCCCACCACCTTAGTTATTGCGTGAACCCTTTTGTTTCAGGTGAGGATGCTGAGAATTTGCTCAGATCTTCCTCCACGAAAGCTCACTCCTCCCTGTGAAGTCATTTATGCCTGAGGCAGGTGACGAATGCTTTTGAGAACCTTGGTTTGACACTTGCATGTTAAAACCTTCATTTGAAAGATACTTGTGGGTGTTTCAAGAACCTGTGTTGGCTCTCCAGCCACAGGTCCATTAACCAGTCTGGATTAAAAAGTTTCAAACCTGATTATTTATTAACCAGGCAAAGCCATTTGGGAAGAGGTGGTGTTTCAAGCTGCTGCTCCTTGGGCACAGTATTTTATCCATCCTTGATTCGCATCCCACACCGGATGCGGGTACCACAGGGTGGGGGGGTGGCTTGCACCGTGTGGGAGTCCTTTGGCTCAACACTGCTCTGAGGGTGTGGAGGGGGAAAGGTGGGATGTGGTAGAAGAGAAAGGATTTGGCAGTCCTGGTTTCCAGGCTGGCAAAAAACTTCAGCCTCCTTCAGTGACAGCCTATGTGTTCCCTTCCGCCTGCTCTGTTCACCTGCACAGGACTTGGGTTTGAAGCTGCTGCTGCAAAGTTGGGGCCTGGATTGGAAATCCTTACTCTCAAACCACCAGTATTCTTGGCTTTGTGGGTATGATCCTGTTGTTTTTTGGAAGTACCTGAGCAATTGCGAGCCCGTACTTGTGCTCAAAGCCACATGTGCTTTTGAAATGTTTCTGCCTGAGAGAGGCCAAACTGATTTCTCCTTGGGTGCCTCATTGCTCAGGGAGGACAGTGGAGAGTTTCCTGCTCTGCTCTCTGCAGGTCCCTTCGTTAACTGCGCCTACCCTGGGATAAACGTGCCCTGCTGTGGCGTCAGCTCTTTTCAGGTTTTTTCCCACCATGGTGACAGCCCTCCTGGTTTCATTTTCCCGGCGAGGCCCCTGGGACAGATGGCGGGTCACGCTGTGCTCTGGCTGGCAGAGGAGCAGCAAAGAAGGGGCCACGCACAGCAGCAGACGGCAGCGTCCACCGCACGAGCCGTAGCCCTTGCAGGAAGCAGCTCGCACCATCCTGCTGTCCAGTAAACAAAGCTGTGTGTTGCTGCCATGCGCTGAACCAGCAGCACCCTTTCCAGGGCCCGGGGAGCGTCCTGCTGCCGTGCGTGCACAACTGCCCAGGGCTCGGCACCCGAGCAGGAGCAAGCAGCAGAGTGGCAGACCTTCGCTCCTGGTGCCACCCTGTGCTTTGCAGATCAGGTCTGGTGCCTGCTCACACGTGCTGCTCAGCAGGGGCAGCGCCATGGTCCTGCAGCCGTGTTGTGGCAGAGCTTAGGAAGAGGGTGCCGAAATCCGGGACACAGGAAGGTTTTCTTCCGTGGTCCTTGTCCTGGCTGTAAGCTAAAGTGCTGCCAAGGTTTCTGTCTGTAGCAAGGGTCCCTTCTTCCAGTCTCCCTTTGCTTTTCTCTGCTGCTCTGGGAAGCCCCAGCTGCTTTCCCCAGCGGTCTGTAAACTTTATCACAAAATTCAATCCCAAAATGCCTGTGTGTGGGGTGGGACAGGGGGAATGCTCAGCATCAAACCTGCCCTCTTGGAGCCTCCCACCAAGAGAGGGGATCTGAGATGGGTCTAGCCTTTCCTCAGCTGTTTTGGCTGCCCCCACAGTTTGCAGCTGGCTCAGATGCCGCCGTTCCGCGGGCGGCATTCCCACGGGGGGCTCGCTGCAGACATCATGTGGGTGCTGCAGGGAGAGTGCTGAGGCTCAAGCTCAGTCCATCACAGGCATCCCAACCCAGTGCAGCAACACCGGCGTACAGCAACAGGTAAGAAACTGATGTCACCTGTTAAATTTAAGTCACTTAACTGTCTTTATTTGTTTTTAAATTAGGATGGAGAAGAAGAATTTAACCGTGCTAAACTGCTGAATATAGGATTCGCAGAGGCTTTGAAAGAGTATGACTATGATTGCTTTGTGTTTAGTGACGTAGACCTCATCCCAATGGATGACAGGAACACCTACAAATGTTACAGCCAGCCACGGCACCTCTCTGTATCCATGGATAAATTCGGATTTCGGTGAGACGCCTTTTGGTGGGGCATTTTGTTCCTAATATCGCCTGGCAGGCCAGGCGCAACACTACACATCCCCACCCACCGTTGAAATCCTGGGAAAAGCCTGTCTTGGCATGTGCGTCCCTGCAGGGAGCGGGTGGCTGCAAGCAGGATCGGCTGGAGGGGAGGAAGGGGGAGAAATGCAGCTGAGCAGTTTATTAAAATTCACAGCTTCTAGAAAGTGAAATGTAGGGCGAGGAAAAACTAAGAGCCCATCGTTTTGCAGATGCCCACATATCCCTTCTTGTGTTTCATGCTGGAAGCTGGAAGACAGCTAGTGTTTCCACCCAGTCTGAAAAGTGAGACACTCTCACACAGTGAGAATTATGTGCAGCTTTAAAAAGATTGCATCAGACACTATTTTAAGAGCAAAACGAAATATTCTTGGCTGTTCAGTTTCGGGCCACTGAGGGACCTGCCTTGGTATCTGAGAGCAACACAAAATGAAATGCCTTTCAGCAGCTGCTGCAAACAAAAATGTGTCTTGCTTTTCCTTTTTTTAAAATTTTTTTCCTATCCCAAATCTCCAAGGGAGAGTTTAAAAGCTAATCTCTAAAGTGAAAACCAGCTCTGACGCCATGGTGGCCAGTGGTGCTAAAGATACAGCAAGTGGCAGGACCCCTTGCACATCTCCACTCCAGACCCAAGCCGTGCTCGGAGTAGGTCTATCACTTGCACCGCAGCAGCTGCAGATTTTTCTTGCAGCTAGGTGAAGCTTAGAGCAGAAATTAAGGCCCCAGGGGTTTCTTCTGCTTGCTGAAGCAGAGACAAGGTATGTGGTAGGTCCTGGTGATTCCTGTGTGGGTCGTCATCTGGTGCTGTGGGTCTGATTTCGTGTGTTGCCAATCATCCCCCGTTTTGAGCAGGAGCTGGTTGTCTTTGTGCATGCAAAGTCACGCTGCTGGCGCAGTTTTGGGCTGTGAGCTTTTCTTTGGGGCACTGGGGACCATGGAGGCGAGCAGTGGAGCTGCAGGAAGAGAAGGTTCTGTGGCACCTCTGATACCTCGCTGAGCTCTTGCTGCTCCTGCGGCATGCATGTCACCTATCTGTCCTTTGGTAAGGTGACGTGCATCTCACCGGCCTGTCCTTTGAGGACAGTGTACCTCTTAGTGAAAGGCTGCAGCCATTGCCCGTTGCAAAATACTTCCCAGCTCTATTTGGGACTGACCCCACCAGCTCCCTCTGCCTTGTCCGAGTCCCGGGCACCAGAACACCTGTGACAGGTGCTGGCTTGCCGTGGGCTGGGGTGAAGGGCAGCAGCAAGCCTTTTTTGGGTGTGCCCGCTGCTCCTTAGCTAGCACCTCTCCTCCTCTAATGGCCTTTTCTCCCTACTTCCAGGTTGCCTTACAATCAGTATTTCGGAGGTGTGTCTGCCTTGAGCAAAGAGCAGTTCACAAAGATCAACGGGTTCCCAAACAATTACTGGGGCTGGGGTGGTGAAGATGACGACATTTATAACAGGTAAATAAATGCCTTGGCATACCAAAGTGCCTCTGGGGTGGGGTTGAGCGCAGACCTGCTGCTTTTGCCCGGGGTGGGGTGGAGGGGCACAGGGTGTCTTTCCACCCCTACCACAGGAGCCTCCCCTCCGGAGGTGGTGCGTGGGCAACCTGCTGGTTCAGCAAAAGCGTGTTCCTGTGGGTGCTGGCACCCCATCTTACAGCCCCTGAGGTGTGTTGGGGAGTGGGTCTGGCTGGAAAAATCCCACCACTGCCCCACACATGCATTGCTTGTTCGTTGCACAGCCTTGCAAGCATTCGCACCAGTGCGCAGGTTGGAGCAGCGCACTTCTGGGTCTCCCAGCACTGGCTGAAGGAATGGGATTTGGGGCGCGCAGCGGGATGGAGAAGACCTTGACCCACCTTGCAGCCTGAGGCTTGCCTGGGTCTGCAGCCTGGTAGCTGATCCCTTTGTTCCCAGGGAGCTTCATTTGTCAGGCTGTACGCGGCTCTGAACAACACCATGAGACATTGCTTCCTGCCCGGAAGGAAGCAGAGCAAGGCTCAGAACTGCAGGAGAGGAGGAAGGTGTTTGCACAGGACAGGCTGGGACCACCCCTGCCCGAAGACTGGGGCAGAGGGTGGACGTGGGCTTGTGCTACCTTACAGCTTCGTGTCGCCAGGGTGGTCGCTGTGAGAAATCATCGTGGGGAGCACGCATTTGGGAAGCCCTATTCATGTTTCTTGATGGCAAAACCACTCCTGCATGGTCTTTTCTGTGGGCTTTCCGAGCTCTTCCAGGTTTCAGGAAGGGTATTCCTAAAAGTGCTTCTACCTTCCTGAGGTTCAGCACTTCTGTTTAATAAACCAAGCGAGGGACAACTATATAGAAATGAAAAGGGAGACGCAAAGAGGAAGAAACCAGGTACTTTTTCAGCATTGGCATCCACGAACTGCAGGTGCCTTGCAGAGAGTATGCAAACAAAGACAGGCTGCCCCTCGCCTGGTGGGTCCCAGCTGGGACCACTGTGCCTCTGACCATGTGTGTCCCCCATGCTGCTTCACCACCATTCACTTCAGTTTCTACCAGCCCTGCAGGTTTTGCGTACGGGAAAACGAATGTTCTTCTGGCTCCTTTCCAGATGGGTTAAAAACTAGATGCCTCCCATTCAAATTCCAGTCTACAGCCTGGGGCAAGGTTAATGCGGGCCTTGGGTGTGTGAGGAGCTGGTTGTGCGGTGAATTAGCAGATCCTAATCCCTAACATCCTTGGTGTTGGCAGGGTGACGTCGCTTTTCCCCGTGCTGACGTGCCCGTGTGGAAAGGGACTGGCTTTCCCCGCTTTTGGTGTCAGCAAGCCTGCAAATACACTAGTGACAACCTCTTTAAAAAAAAAAAAAAAAAGTAAAATCCCCAAAGCCAATGGTCATTTGTGGAAGGTGTGGCAGAGTGTCCCACATCTGTCACCTGTCATCGGTGTTTAATGTATTTGCTTTTTACAGGCTGGTGTTTAAAGGCATGGGGATATCCCGTCCAGATGCCATCATTGGGAAGTGCAGAATGATTCGGTATTCCCGGGACCGGAAGAACGAACCCAACCCTGAGAGGTGTGTCTCCTCAAGTCCCACAGCAGATTCAAGGGGTGCCTCCTGCCCTTGCTGTTCCAGCTGCTTGGCTTTCTCTTTGCTGTGCAAAAAGCTCGATTGCGGAAAACCTGCAGCCATCTCCCCCCCTTGCCGACCTCTCCGTTGCCTGCGCTGTAAGCTAGCTGCCCGCTTCCCCTTGCCAGTTTGCTGCCTTATTACTGACCTTTTCCCCAAGATTTCACTATGGCACAAACACCTCTCGCCTTTTTTTTTTTTTTTTTTTCTTAAACGCAGCAAATTAAGCTCTGAGCAATTGTTTCCAGCTTGTCTTTTGGTGTATAAAACCTGTGCTCTAGTGCATAGCTGGAAAAGGACCTTGTGTGATTTAAAAGCCTGGCTGCTTTTTCCTGGGTAAAATTTGACCCTGTAGGGATGCCTTTGCCCGCTGCTAAGGCTGGACAAATCTGGGAGTTTATGGGACCCGTACTGATAGCCGGATTGTTCTTAAAACAATACCGGAGATACCGCTGGAGAGGCTATAAAAATGTCATGCGGAAGTTCACGTTGTTTAAACTTTTTTTTTTTTCTTTTCTTCCCCCTCCTCCTTCCACAGGTTTGACCGAATTGCTCACACAAGGGAGACAATGAGCTCTGACGGCTTAAATACACTATCCTACAAGGTGTTAAGAACTGACAAGTACCCTCTGTATACAAAGATCACAGTGGATATTGGCTCGCCAAATAGCTAACATCACAGACACAAGAGACCTCACCTATGTTGCCCAGGACACTCGCCTCACTGGTGCTTTGTATCTGCTGGTTTTATAACAGTTGCAAAGAACAGAGAAAGAGGCCTCTTTTGGCATGCCAAAGCGTCTCCAAATTGGTTGGACAAGTGCTTTTTTTCTTTTTAAATTCCAAACTTGACTTTCCACAACTTTCTAGCTCTCCATTGTTTTGTAAGTCCAGGAGCTGTACATAAGAGTTGTAAATATTTACTTTGCCAGAAAATGTTGAATCTGATCTATTTGCTGCAGTGCTCCCCATGTTGAGTTAATTGCTGGACCCAAATTTTACTGATTACAACTGTGATGCATCAGCAATTACTGCCCATGATATTTTGATATTTTAAATGAGGTGGATGAAAACATTACTTTTAATCCATTCATTTTACTTTATGAAGGACTGTAAAATGCTGCTAAAATTATACAAGTTTACGCTTTGCATTAGATTTTTTTTTTTAATGGACACAATATCGTATATTTTTTTTCTCATAGTGACCAAAACAAACATCTTCTCTGTGGGCAGAGCAAGTGTTGAACAATCAAGTCTGGATTCAATGAATGTCATTATTTCTTTTAGTCTCAAAGGAGGCTTTGAGAGCGTTGAGCCAGAGTTTGCCAGAATTTGCCAGTGAGCTCTCTGCATAGGGTGGGAGCTACACAGATGGCATCTGCAAAAACCACTGGCTTCAGATTTCCTTACTTCTGGATGTGGTAGTAACTTTCTGCCTCAGCGCACCACCACCTGGGGTTTTTTGGGGGGGCAGAGGGGGGTGGTTTGGGGTTTTTTTCCTGAAATAAAGATGAATGCGTTTTATTGTGTGATGAAATTATGGCCTTAAAATTTGCTGACACTTGTTAACAATGGTAGAGAGTTGCCATACTATTTAAACATTGTCTGAAGCTTCCTAAAACCAAAATTTTTCTTGCGAGGTCATGCATAAAACTTGAATTCACTTATCAGTTTTGTTGTTGTAACATTTTAATAACTTTTTAAAGTAATTTGTACATCATAAGCAGTATATTTAATATCAGATTAAACTAGGGTGCAGCATAATAGGGTATGATTCAAGGCTTCCTTTATGTTCAGTAGGCTTTTTGTATGCGTCATTATATATAAGCCATTTATTATATTTGCGTATTTGTCCATGATATCTCCTGCGGTGCTGACATATTCGCAGCAGGGCTGACATCCAATCGATTTTTCTTTGCCTAAAGCCTGTTGTAATGTATATCCTCTATTGGGAAACTCCCTTCTGATTTTCTCAGGCTTTGAGGGACTTGGGCGTTTTGGAGTACTGCTTTTGTCAGTGCACCCGGGCACCACTGGTACAGACACCCTGCTTTTCCTTCCTGTGACCATATGAAAGCCTCAAGCGCTGACACCCTCAGAGCTGGTTTAAGTGATTTAAAGCTCTCAGCCAGAACTGAGAACTTGAATTCCTTCTGGCGAGTACTTTTGCCACCAGCTCTGACCACAGCAATTTGCACTTCCTTGGCTGGTGCTGAAGGTTGTTGAAATCAGGGATGCTCGTTGTATTGGGGATCATCTTCAGCACTGCCTCTTTTTTTTTTTCCCCCTGCTCCTTTTTTTTTTTGGTGGTTGTTTTTGGTTTGTTTTTCTGTTGAGACCTGAAGGTTTTGCTGAACCCTTGCACTGCAGGGGTGGGATCCTGCAGGGGCCGGGAGACAGTGCCTTTCTTCTTAGTCCAGCAGTGGCTGAAAGTATGCACGGAGACTTTAATTACTAGGGAGACACCCAGCTGCCTTTTCAGTCTCCCTTTGAAAATGTGTTCCCCCCCTTCATTTAAAAGCTCTTGCTGGCCAGACTTGCTGCTTCAGTCGTGCTGGAAGCTGAGCAAAGGTGGGCTTGCATGGAGCAGGAGTGACATGCCAGGAAGTAAGGTTGTGTTTAAGAGCCTCTCTTGTGCTTATTGTTATATTAAAAAAATTACTCCTTCTTGGGAGGTCAGGTTCCAGCTCTTGCAGATACAAAGGGGTATAAGAAGAGGATGTCTTCCAGAAGTCAGGTGAAATGTCTACCTGTAAAACGTTGGTGTAGCTGTAGTCTGCACCAGTAATGGAGACACAGGCGAGGACTTATTTTTTTATTTTTTCAAAGGTGCCTTAGAAGCAGGGCCCCGCTCCCACAAGTGGCAGATCAGCACCAAAACTCATCAAGACTCCACTGAAAATCCCAGGTCTCTGCAGAGAGCACCTCGATTTTGTGCTGAGACTTTTCTAAGCTTAAGAGTTGGGACCTTCAGCTGTAGTGGTGTCTGTCTGCTAACAGGCTATGCAAAGGGGCTACCTGTTGTAATTAAGTGGTTGGTTTGGGGTTTTTTTGTTTCCCCCCCCTTGCTTTAGGATTCTCTGAAGATTAGAAAAAAGTGTAACAGCAACTTGTTGTTTCGCTGTATGCTGAAATCATTGAGAATCGTGGATGTGGTCCAAGCACTTGTTTCTGGCTGTTGCAATCAAAGGTTTCTACATATGTGCCTTGAAAGAGGAGAGAAATGGAAACTGGAAAACCAGGAAACCTGAAAACCATTTTCAGCAGAGAGACAGTAGCAGTGCAAGAAGCTGTCACTTAGTTTCTCTTCTGCTAAAGCCACAAACCATGTAAAAGCTGAAGCTGCCTTTCATTGTTTGTTTTGCCCTTTGGTGCTGACCCGTGATTTCCAGATCTCATTGTCCCTGTGTAAACTGTATTGGTCAAACTCACAAAACTCTTGACTCAACCTGGCCATGAAATTTCTCTTCCTGGGATTTTTGGGGGCCTTTTCTACAAATACTTCTGTTGCACAGAAGTGAATTCTGGCCATGACCTGTGGTGGGTGGTCATTTTTTCCTCTCCTGTACTGGTAGCAACATTCAAAGTGATACTGTGTGTAATGGTTGAAACCAGAACAAATAGCTGCAAAGGAAACGCTAATGCTTGATTTCTTTGGGATTACTGTTTGCTTGTTAGGATGAGGGAGGGGTCCTGGCATGCAGCTTTTCCCTGGGATGTTACTTCTGTACTGGACGGCTTTTGGGGTTCCTGTAGATGGTTTTGCTTTTGCATTTTTATCATTCATATATCAACGGATGTATAATCTAATGTTCTACTTTACTATTGATGTCAAATAAAGTATTTTCAGTTATGATGCCTGGCAGCATTACTCTGAATTACCTCTCTGGATGGGTGGCTTTCTGGCTGATGGGGTGGACTTGGGCCATGCCTTAGCTTCCTCGCATTAACTTTCTCCAGCTTTTCCCTGCTCTGGCTGCCCCCCCAAGTGAATTTCTCTCTCTGCACTGCAAAATTTTTGCTGGCGTTAAGAGACACAGATCCAAGAGTCCTCAGATGACACCAGAAAACTGTAGGGTGGTTCATTTACCTGTGGATATGGGGACAGAATGCAAAACCCTTCTGAAACCAGGCAGGGGACACAAGCCCTCACATAGGCTGTCAGCTCCTTGAGGGAAACAGGCCACTGCTTGCTCCCCGGGAAACAGGCCACTGCTTGCTCCCTGGGTGCTTGTGGGTTTGGCTAGAGTGTGGAAATGGAGAAGTCATTCCTGGGAAACTGATGCAAATGTTTGCCTGTGTTCCTTGGCACTTTCTCATGAAAACAGTTTCCGTGGAAGAGATCTTTCTGGCTGCAAGACTGTGGCTAAAGCTAGGCAGCTGGCGTGAGGTCCCCAGCGCTCCCCAGGGAGAGGTGGGCCTGGTCCCAGCTGGGACCAGCTACCAGCCTCTGGGTCCCAGGCGGGCACAGTGGGCAGGACATCACCAAGCCCCTACAGCTGCTTGGAGGCATGTTCTGAAGACCATATGGACAGAGGGATCTGGAAGGCATTGCACAGGAATAGCGGGCATTTTCTTCTCATGGTTCAAAGTTTGCTATCTACGGGCAGAAAAATGGTCCAAGAGGGACCTTCCACTTTCTCCTACTTCTGTCCCCAGAGTATTGAGCTGTTCCTCCCCTCTTCTGCTGGGGGTGGGGGGGCAGTGAGGAATGGGCAGGAGTCACACAGCTCAGTGGATGGTAGAAGCCCTGCAGGGAAATTTTGTCCCTTGCTGAAAGAAGTAGCTGAGAAGAGTCAGTATGAATTCACCCTTCTCCCCACTGGTTACCAAGGCCTCCCTGGACCCGCTCAGCATGTGGCTTGTAAAGGACCCCTTGACTCTTTTGCTGTGAGACCATACTTGCTCTAGCAGAGATTCCCACCTCCAGCTCCACCTGTCTGCCAGCAGCCAGAATGGGTGAGCAGAGGTCTCTGACATTTATCCCACATGCTTACCCTGCTACACCTTCCTGTTCTCCAGCCCAAGGGAAAAAAAAAAAACCACCAACAAAAAAGAGGCTATTGTTAGAAGGAAGAAAAGGACTCAGCTGGAGTTTCGTGACCCCTTTCATCCCCTTGGAAGGAGTCTGAAGTGGGTGTGATTGCCCTTTGCTCTTGCTCTGTGCCTTAGCACAGCAGTGCTGACACTGGATCCATTCTTACTTACCTATGTCCCGTTTGCAGGATGTCTATGCACTTGAGGAAAATGCACCTTTACAAGACCTCTGTTTTCTGTCTACCCAAGGCAGCAGCCCCACTCCTGGAGCCTGTTTTCCTTTTCCATCCACTGCTCTCAGTGTTACTACCAGCAACGCAGGTATTAGCAGAGAGGTCTCTGCAGTCCGAGGTGACTGACTTCTCAAGCCTGCACTGGATCTTGCAGTGAAGAACTGAGAGGGGAAAACAAGGGACTGGGGTTAAGTAAGTCCAAAGCCTGGACCTGGGGGACTCTTCCTGGTTACCTTCCTGCCCTTCACATGCTTGAAAATTATCTCCAAGAAGTCTTGCTCCCTGATTTTTTCCAAGGATGGAGGTATTGTTTACAGACTGCTGTTTCCCAGATCCTTCTCCTTGTGCTTTTTAAAGGTGGACATAGTATTAGTCTTTTCAATCAGCCCTTTCCCAGTTGCCATGATATTCCACTGTGACTGACAGCAGCTTCATTCACATCAACCAGCACTGTTAGCTTTTACAGGTGAGTGCCATCCATTCCAGTGGCTATGAGTATGTCCAGCTTCTCTAAGCAGTCCTTAAACCCCACATGGGTCAAATCTCCTTCCCAAACC